TGCGGGTGTCGGGCCGGCGGGCAGCCCCCCGGGCAGGGTGGTCCTGCCGGCAGGATCACATCGCGTGGCAGCTCCTGCCCGTCCCGGGTCCCATTCCCAGGCGCGGAGCCCTTGGGAGGACGGGTGGGCTTTGCTGTGCCCGCACCCCGGGCAGCGGTGCCGGCTGCCATTTGGCGATCCCAGCCTGTTTCTGTTTCAGGGAATCACGGAATGCCAGATTGGTTGTGGTGTGAAGGGACCTTAAAGCTCATCTAGTACCAACCCCCCTCCATGGGCAGGGACACCTCCCACCAGCCCAGGCTGCTCCAAGCCCCATCCAACCTGCCCTTCAACACTGCCAGGGATGGGGCAGCCACAGCTTCCCTGGGCAACCTGGGCCAGGCTCTCACCCCCCTCACAGCACAGAATTTCTCCCTCACATCTCATCTCCATCCTCCTCTTTCAGCTTAAAACCGTTTCCCCTCATCCCATTGATCCCTGCCCTTGTCCCAAGCCCCTCCCCAGCTTTCCTGGAGCCCCCCTTTTCCCAACAGCTCCTTCTCCCCTCTGCTAATGTGTGACAGACCAGCCCAGAGGGGAAGCTGACTCACAGGGCAGGGGAACAGTAAAACGGCATCAATACAAAACAAGCTGGGACAACCCTGAAGTCGTTTCCCTTTTTAGAGGGGTAACAAAAAGAAGGAGAGAGAAAAAAAAAAATAAGGGAGGGTAAAGTTTTGGAGAGCTGTGTGCTCTGGCAAGAGGAGCCCTGTGCTGGTCACTCTTTTAAAAATATCCAGATTTCCTTTTATAAATAAAAAGGGCAATAATATTTCCTTTGGAGGGAGGCTGAAAATGAGGAAAATCCCAGTGGCTGCTCTGGCTGAAGGACAGGAGGGGGGGGGGAAAGCAAGCAGAGGTGCAGTGTGCAGGAGTGGGGCAGTGCCATGGCACTGCCTGCCCAGCTGGGAACTTGCACCATCAAGGTCTAAACAAGTGGATCTCCTGCATTTTATGTTTCACTTCAAGCTGTTGCTGTAGAGCTTCTCTGGGGACTCTAGAGGGGGAAGATGGGGCTGGGGACAGAGTTAGCTGAAGGTATGTCCTAAAGCACATGGGGTAGATGAAGTTTCTTAAAGGAAACAACACAGAAATGAGGATAAAATTACTCAGGAGTCAACCAGCCATAGCCTGGTACAGCTGGCGTGACGTGCAAGTCCCACCTCTGCCTCAGCCTCTGGTTCCAGCTCTCACTAAGCTGCAGCTATTTGCTGTTTTTTTGGCTATTTGCTTTGGACAAGCTGTTACATGACGGGGCTGCCGTGTGCCAGCTCCGGGGCAAACTGGGAGGAAGAAGAATCTTTGCCTGAGTTGATCATCTGCACCACTGGCTTTGCATTTTGGGGGGGCTGGGGCCCTTCCCTACAAACAGCCATGAGCTTTGTCCCAAAGAGACCCCTCGGGCCCCTGTTCTTAGGGTAATCTCAGCCCGAGGACAGCAGGCAGGGGATTTTCCTTCTCAGGTGGCACAGAGGACTCCAGCCACTGGAGGAAACTTGAGCTTCTGGGCACGGAGAACGTTCCCAAGTCGCTGCCTGTGTCAGCAGTCACGGGGAAGCAGGACCTGAGCTTTCTCTCCCAGTGAAGCAGCTGAAGGCAGGGCTGCTGCTCTGTTGTTGGAAGTGTTGTTACAGCCACCCTGCGAGCACATCTGCTCCCCCAGCTCTCTCTGGTCAGTAGTGTTTTGCTTAGTGAGTGCCTGTTCTGCTGGACAAGGGCCTTTTTTAAGATCTTGGAAGACTTAGAGACTGTGTTTTCAGAGCTCAGCAGGGGTGATGGAGGGTGGTAAATGCTTTCCTCAGCTTGCCCCACTGCCCAGGTGGTTGTTCCTGGTGCTGGCAGCAGCCCGGGGTCTTCAAAGCAAGTTAATTTGCAGTACAACTTAATCTCTTTTCCCAGTGGCTTTGGCTGAGGGTCTGCATCCCCCCAGGGACACGTGGGCCTTGTGTCTTTCCCACCGTTTCCTTTAATGTGCTTCCTTAGATGTAGAAGTGGCTTCTGTCCCCTCCTCATGACAAATTTAACTTGTTAGTGTTGACCGAAGTGAGCACCAAAAAAAAGACCAAGGGGGCTGTGGGCTGCGTGTGGCTCTGGGATCCTTCTCCCCACCCTTCCCCCAGGCTGTGGTCTCCTCTGGCAGAGCCCAGGGGTTCAACCCACCAGCCCTCTGCTCTGCCATGGGGTTGGAGCTCTATCTTTAGGTGCAGAAGCACCAGCAATGTGGAACCATGAGGTTTCCCTTAATGCTGGCTGCAGCCCTGCTGACAGACCCTGCTGTCCATGCATCCCTGGGCCCAAAACTGGGGTGACATCTGGCCCTGGTAGCTTAACTGCCCTGCTGTTGGTGTCCTATTAACCACCCGGGGTTTCTCCTTCCTGTTGACTCCAGATTGTGTTGCTGTAGCCTAAATAAATAAAATCATGTAGAGTGTTGTGCCACGGGGCAGAGGGTCCAGGGTTATCGTGCAGGGTCTGGAGGCTGCCAAGTGCTGTGTTTGGGAACAGCCTCTCCTCCAGCCTGTCCTGGGTGACTGTTTTGTCACCTGTGGCCTCAGAGGCAGGAGATGTCCCTTGGGGCTGTAACTGGGGGTTGCTTTGATAAGGAGGGACAGCTGCAGGTCAGGGCTGCAGGGGGGAAGCCACAGAGAGCCTGAAGTCCCGTGCGTTCAAGGCTGGGTTAAACTCATGGTCATTAGATTAATGGGATTAAGCCCATGAGTCAAGAGGCTGTTTTGCACAGAGCTCAGCACTGCTGGGAGCACCCACTGGCCCAGCTTGGGCAGCATGAGTAGCAACTAAGGAGCCCCTTGCTACCTGCCTTGGAGAAGCCCCTCAGGAGCAGGGCTGTGCTGCAGGGACAGTGCCCTCTGGAGCATCCTGGCTGTTGGGGGTTTGGGGACCAGGCAGCTCTGCAGGCCCTTCCTGCAAAATACTTGCCTGTTCCTCCTCAGTGAGAGGAGAGGTGGTGGTGCCATGGGTGCTTTGGAGGAGGGAGAGGCTGGAGGGGCTCCAGTGGCTGTCTGGAGGCAGCACCCTGTGCTGCTGCGTGGACCCTTGTGGTAGTGCATCATCCCCATGCTGGTGCATGCCCCTCTGTGCCAGCGCATCCCTCCCCAACAATGTCCCTCCTGGGGACACAGAGGAGCAGCAGGAGTTGTCCATCACGGAGCAGTGGTCCACCTGTATCAGGGGGGTGGGAAAGCTGCAGCCCCCTGCACTCCAAACTGTTGGGCCTCCACTCTATTTCCAGCCTCCACAATCACAGCTCGGGGTATTTTTGGTTTGCAGCACCAGGCCCGGCTCAAGCAGCCCTGCTGGGCACCAGCTGCTTCCTGGCATGGCCAGGACTCCTCGAGGTGGCCACAGGACCTTCTGCTGCAGCTCCAGCCTCCAGGGCTGCCAGGCTCTGCCCTGCCACGAGTGCACTCCCTCAGGCCTGTGGCAATGTGCAGACCATGTGAATAAATATGAAAAGATGTCAGTGGCTGCAATCACATTGATGCCTTAGCAGGTCTTCATGCTGGTTGCATAAGACATTGGGTATTATTTCTATTATTCCCATCCCTGTGAACTTTGGTTCCCCAAGCAGGAGAGCTGCTGGCAGCACTGGCCACAGCAGTGACCAAAAATTTGCCATTGGAAAAAAAAAAGAAAAAGGGATTTTCTGATTTTCTGCTCACTGTGCCTGGCAGGCACCGTGGCTCCGAGCAAAGAGCTGCTCCTAGGCTGAGCTGAGGTGCCTTTTCTGGAGCAGAGGGAGGGTGGTCCCCCCCAGGACTCAGCCTCACAGGCTGGTGAATCCCTTTGGATCAGAGGGGCTCTCTCCAGAAACCATAGATCTTCCAAAAAAAAAACCCCTCCTGCAGCTCAGGAATCCAGCCCATAGCCAGGTGCTCCTGCCTGCCCGGGCTGACATCTTGGTGAAGCCTGGAAAACCAGAGCCTGCCTCCAGCTGCAGGATCCTCTGGCTTTTTTTAGGGAGGACTAAAATGTGCTGTCCTCAGCAGAAACCTTGCAAAAACTGATTGCAAAGTTGTTCATTTCTGGTGATAAATTCTATTCCAGCTGCTGTGGGAAGGGAGCAGAAGAGGGGTCGATTGGGTCCTGGTCCAAGGGGAAAAGGCTGGAGCTCTTCTGGTGGCAGGATCAGGGCTTGTCACACATGATGGCAAAGAATATTTGCATTTTCCAAAGAGTTTCTTTGTGGCTGAAAGAAGATCCCAGGCAAACTGCAATGTCAGCCACAACTGCATTCATTGCAGCTCTCTTGGAAGCAGCATCTGCTGTACCCCAGCTGCATAAAATATATAAGCAGAATAAACCCATATAAAGGTTGTAAATGAAATGTTTTAATGTTGGCTGCTGGCAAAATACCCAGGTGATGAAGGTGGGTCCAGGTGTGGTGCTACCTCTGCAGAAACCATCGCTGGCTTCTCCTCCAGCACTGTCAGCTCCAGCAGGAGCCTGGGAAGCTGTATTTACCCTGGGGTAACACCTCAATTACCTTCTCAAGGGTTTGATCTTGGAAATAATTTTCTTATCTGAGTGTATCTTCAGCTGAAGCTCTTAAGTATTGCAGCCCCTTGGGTGGGAAGCTGTCTTCTGCTTTCAGCAGTGATAAATCACAGATGCTTTGAGGTTTGGGATGTGCATGAGCTCGCTGGTGATGCCACTTTTCTGCCCCGTTTCACACGTGGAACGGTGAGTTTGCATCTCTTCAGATCAGTTGGAACTGATGCCAGCATTTCCTGACCATGGCTGGAGGTAGAAACGTGGTGCCTCTGAGCCAAAGGCTGCCAGATCTGCATGGATTTGTTGGCAACTTCTCCTCCAGGGTTTGGAGCTGTGGCTTCAGCGCACGTAGGAACAGGCATTATTTAAAGGCTGAGAGGCCTGGGCTGTTTAGTCTGGAAAAGACCAAGAGGGGATCTTATTAATGTTTAAAAATATCTGGGGGGTGGGTGTCAGGAAGAGGGGGCCAGTCTCTTTTCAGTAGGGCCTGTGATAGGACAAGGGACAATGGACACAAACTAGAAGACAGGAAGTTCCACCTCAACATGAGGAAGAACTTCTTTTCTGTGAGGGTGACAGAGCCCTGGGACAGGCTGCCCAGAGAGGTTGTGGAGTCTCCTTCTCTGGAGACTTTCAAGACCTGTCTGGATGTGTTTCTGAGTGACATGCTCTATGGGGTCCTGCTCTGGCAGGGGGGGTGGACTTGATGATCTCCAGAGGTCCCTTCCAACCCCAACCATTCTGTGATTCTGTGATTATTAGTGTCCTGTACCTGGCACTGATGGTGCTTTAAAGCAAACGGTGAGATGGACACAGGGTGTTGGTCCAGGATGGGGTGACCATCCCATCATCAGAGGTACATGGAGATTGGCTGCAGAATTTGAGAGGGAGTGATATTTTTTTAAGTGGAAATGTCACGCTTTTAATAATTTTTTTTTTTATATGTATTTTTCTTTTTTTCTTCTCTGGAGCAGAAGTTGGTGCCTTGGCAAAGCAGTACCTGGAGAGAGGCCTCCTGGTGCCCGACCACGTCATCACCCGCCTGATGCTGGCGGAGCTGGAGAAGCGGCGGGAGCAGCACTGGCTGCTGGATGGTGAGTGGGGAAACCCCAGCCCCCTTGGTTCTTTCTCTGCTTATGGTTTGGCAGCACCAGGTGAGAGAAGAAAACCTGAAGGAGGGGCCTTTGCTGGTGGTGGGAGGAGAGGAGCTGACCTGCTGGCCAAGCCTCTGCCCATGGGTGTTTTATCCCCCTTTCCCTCAGCAGCAGGACGTGTGTGTCCTGGCACAGGGCTGGGAAAGGGGGTGGGGGCTTCATGGAGTGGAGGCTGCAGAACAGGGCTGGAGGCAGGCCAAGGAAAACCTCTTCCCAGCTCCATGTGTGTGCAGGAGGCGCTCATCTCTCAGCTAGAAATCCCTCTGGGGCTTGGGTGGGGATGGGGCAGGGCTCTGTGGGTCGCACTCACCTGCCATGTTGGGCACAGGCAAGTGTGACATGCAGAGGCAAGTGTCCGTGGTTGTTGTGGGGGGAGAAACCCTCCCTCTGGTCTGCTGAAGCTCTTTGAAGGAGCTGGTGAACGTGTAGATAAGACTGAGGCAGTTGATTGATGCTCCCACCCACTCACTGGCTTTTCCAAGCAAAAAGGTACCTTTGGAGGGGCTTTCAGAGAGCTGGGTGCTTGCTTCTTGGGTATTCCAAGGTGCTGGCTGTGCCAACCATCTTATCACAGCACCCTTGATGTCCTCCCTGTAAACCAGCCCCGTGTTACTCACCGGTGCACGGTGCTTTGTGTCCAGCAGGATTTTCTTTGCGGTCCCAGCATTTATCCCCGTTTTGTTGTTGCCTGTCCCCTCTGCGGCGTTTCGGGAGCTGGTGCTGTAGGAGCTATTTTTGCTCCTGGCCATCTGGTGGGTGCTCATCCTTCGCACCACTTGTGCTGCAGCGAGGAGCTGCGGGGGCTCTGCAGCTCCGGGGAGGGTGGCTCTGGCTCCGTCGCTGCTGCTCTCCCTCCTCTCAGGACAGCCCTTTCCTGTCGCGGTGCCTGCACAGGTTTCCCACGGACGCTGGGGCAAGCCGAGGCGCTGGACAGGATCTGTGAGCTGGACCTGGTGATCAGCTTGAACATTCCCTTTGAGACGCTGAAGGATCGGCTGAGCGCCCGCTGGGTGCACCCGGCCAGCGGCAGAGTCTACAACATGGACTTCAACCCTCCCCACGTCCAGGTGGGAGCCCGGGATGTCACCCTGGGGGAGGCTGGGGCCAGGGGGAAAGAGCAGAGATCCACAGAATCCCAGACTGGGTTGGGAGACACTTTAAAGCTCACCTAGTTCCAACCCCCCTGCATGGGCAGGGACACCTCCCAGCAGCCCAGGCTGCTCCAAGCCCCATCCAACCTGCCCTTCAACACTGCCAGGGATGGGGCAGCCACAGCTTCCCTGGGCAGCCTGGGCCAGGGTCTCACCCCCCTCACAGCCAAGAATTTCCTTCTAAGATCTCCCCTCTTCCAGTTTAAACCCATTCCCCTCATCCCATCCCTCCCTGCCCTTGTCCCAAGCCCCTCCCCAGCTTTCCTGGAGCCCCTTCAGGCACTGGAAGGTGCTCTAAGGTCTCCCTGGAGCCTTCTCTTCTCCAGGCTGAACACCCCAGCTCTCCCAGCCTGGCTCCAGAGCAGAGATGCTCCACAGAATCACACAGAATCACAGAATCCCAGGGGTTGGAAGGGACCTGGAAAGATCACCCAGCCCAACCCCCCTGCCAGAGCAGGGTCACCCAGAGCACATCACACAGGAAAGTGTCCGTGGGGGTTTGAATGTCTCCAGTGAAGGAGACTCCACAACTTTTCTGGGCAGCCTGCTCCGGCCCTCCCATCATCTCCATGGCCTCCTCTGGGCTCACTCTAGCAACTCCATGTTCTTCTTGTGTTGGGGACCCCAGACCTGGACCCAGCCCTGCAGGGGGGTCTCACCAGAGTGGAGCAAAGGGGGACAATCCCCTCCCTCACCCTGCTGGTCACACTGAGCCTTTCTCTGTGTGAACTGAGATAGTACAATAGTGTTGGGGATAGATAGTACAGTAGATAGCGTTGGGGAAGAAACCCCAGGTAATGAGTGCTGAGCAGTGCAGGGCTCCCTCAGGAGCCAGCCCAAGGAGCTGGGCTGAATGTTCATTAGGAAGAGGGGACTGATGTTCAGTGCCATCCGAGGCTGCCTGATGGCTGGGGAGCAGGAGGTGTTTGGCAGCAGTTGTGTGGCCAGGAGCCACAGTGAGGAGGCTGGGGCTGGTGGCCATGTCCCTGTGATGCTGTTTGCCTTCCCACAGGGTGTGGATGACCTGACGGGTGAGCCCCTGGTCCAGAGCCAGGACGACAGACCCGAGGCCGTGGCTGCCAGGCTCCGAAAATACAAAGATGCTGCAAAGCCAGTAATAGAGCTCTACAAGTGAGTTGGTCCCTGTGGAAACACCACAGCTTGCCCATCAAAACAGGCACCAGTGCTGTAGCCACCAGCCTTGCCTGTGTCCCTGGGGAGCCCCAGCACGGCTCCTGACGGGTTTTGGGGGGCAAATTCCTGTGCTCAGTGGCACAAAACCCTGCTCTTCATTGCAGCCAAGCCCTGGCCCTGTTTGAAGACTTTCACAGCTCCTGTTTGTCTTGCTGGGCTCCACGAAGGGCTTTGCTGGGGCCAGCATTGGGAGGGATATTTGGGGTGCAGCTGACAGCACCTGCAAATCCCTTCTGCCCCCCAGCTTGCACAGGGTGGGAAACCTCTTTGCTTTGTGGAGGTGCTGCCCATCAGTGCTGTGAAACTGCAGCACAGAAGATGGAGAAGCTCTGAGATGCCTCAGAGTGTCTGCTAACCCAGCGCTGCTAAGGCCACCACTAAACTGTGTCCTTCAGCACCACATCTACAGGGCTTTGAAATCCCTCCAGGGATGGGGACTCCACCCCTGCCCTGGGCCAGGGCCTCACAACCCTTTTTGGGGAAGTCCTTGATCCTAATGTCCAATCTAAACCTCCTCTGGTACAAGTTGAGGCCAACCTGCCTTCCAATCCCCCTATCCTTGGGAAGAGCAGGTGCCAACTTCTCCTCCCATCTCTCTTCCAGGAGCAGGGGCATCCTTCACTCCTTCTCGGGGACAGAGACCAACAAAATCTGGCCCTACGTCTACACCCTGCTTTCCAGCAAGATCCCACCCCTTCTCTCAGATGAGGAGAACTAAACAACTTGTGCCAAGGACCAAGAGTTAGTTGGATCATGGATTTGGTTTCTCTGCTGGGGCTGTGCTCAGACTGGGTGATCAAAAATCCCTTCCCTGGGTGTGCTGGGTGACACTGGTGGATAAATGGTTATTGGTGGTAACAGAGTGAAAAGATCCTTGCTGATAAGGACCATTTTGCTAGAATAAGGGTTTTTTTCTCTCTTTTGGAGCTATAAAGTATTTTTGCCTGCTGTCCAAGAACACACACAGACCAGGGGTGCAAAGAGTGACCATAACAGGTTTGCACATCTTGCTGTGATGTCCCTGCCACCCATGTGCCTCTGTTTGCACCCACAAGGTGCCATCCTGTTGCTCCACAGTGCTCTTCACAGCAGGTCCCTCCCTGCATTGTTGGGGTTTTTTTCATCTATTTTTTTCTGTTAAATTTAATTCTCAGAGAAATCAGGCTCTAAAAAGCAATACCCAGTGGGAACTGGTGAGCAACATGGAAAACATTTACACTACCGAGCTCAAAAATATGAAGATCACTTTTCCAGCATTAACACACACAAAAAAGAGGGAAAACATTGGAAAACACTCACTTTTTCTTCTTCCATTGAGAGAGATGAAACCCCAGTTAGAGAAAGCTGCTGGACAGTCTGGTGTTCATGAGGTGCTGGGACCCTGAGCAGGATCTGGACTGGGGATGACTTGCAGTCCCCTGTGCTTACCTTGTTTATAGCTTTTAATACTCCAAGATCCAGTCATGTCTCTCCCAAAGATATATTTTAATGTGTGCTTCAGTTTTGGGGAGAAATCGAGTCATTCTGTCTTCTGTGCTGCCTTTGTCCCTGAGGTCCCTCCGAGATGGGCTGTTCCCAGAGTGGTTCCTGCTGCGACTGCAGCATCCCTGGCTAATGCAGCTCCTTCCCCATGAATTCCTGGAGGGATCAGAGCCTTCCCTTCCCTGGGATGCATGCAGGGGCTTTTTAGGGCATTTTCCTACAATTCCAGCATCTGAACATGTCTCTCCTCCCATGCAGGAGTGGCCTTTCTCAAGTGGAAGTACTGTAACCCTCTTTGGTGGCAGGACCCAAGCGATGGGGACGTTCTTTTCGTCTCCTTGAGTTGCCTTATTTTATAGACTATATATTTTAAAATGAAAACAAAAACAAAAAAAGCCAAACAAACAACAAGCAAGATGTGTATTTTCAAAGGTTTAAAAAGAAAACAAAACAAAACAAAAGCTGAATTTTAGCATTGCATGAAGCCACGTTGGTGGAGCCAGCTGCAGTCTGCCATGGGAGGGCAGAAAATCTGTCACTCCCTGACATCCCTTTGATTAATTAGAGCAGCCTGGGCAAGTTCCTGTGGCTGAAATGTCCCTGGTTTTCTTTTTTTGCCCAAAGACTGGCCCTGTGGCAGAGGATGGAGAGCTAAGAGGCTTCTTTAGGGGTGCACAGCCTCCGTGTGTGAAACTTCAGTGCATCCCTGGGAGTTTTTTGTCCCTGCTGAGCCACCTTGTGCTCTCGGAGCAGCCCCTGGTGTTCGCTCTCAGCTTTTCCCTGGATCTCTCCTGAGAAGGGAGTCTGAAGCCCTCGGGCATCTCCTGAGGGAGATCCCTGCCCACAGAGAGGGTGAAAGGGGTGGAAATGGCTCTGCATCCCTCTCCAGATGGGAATTTCCCAGGTGAGAGCAGAGGGACCATCACATTTCACTGCTGTCCCTGGCGACCTTTCCATCCCCCCTGGAGCTCCGGGGCTAGGAGGACACAAACTTTTCCCCCTGCCATGAAATCCTATTTAAAGAAGATTTTAGCTTTTCCCATGACCCTCAGATGAAAGGCTGGGCTGTTTTTAAACACAAATCTAGAAATAGCCAAAAATATGTGTGCTGTTGTCTTTTAACAGCATTGGGCAGGAGGGGAGGAGATGGTGGGGAGAGTTTTTTTAGGCTATAAAAGCAGCCTGGCCTTGTTGGATGGCTCTTCTGGGGCCGAGGACCAGGCAGGGGGGATACTACCTGCTTTCCCTTGACCAGCTCTCATGTCCCTGCCTTCCCTGCTGCTTCCTGTGGCAGGACAGGGCTGGCAGATGCCTTTGCCCAGGAGAGCCACTCAAGCACTTGTTTTAATGGCTTTGAGCCCTGTAGTAGATGTAGAAACCCTGTGGCTGTGCATGTGTCCAGCCCTGGGGATCCATTTTTCTACAAGAGTTGTTGTATGGTGCATTTTCATAGACCAAACACCAGCAGGGATGAGGTCCTGGAGAGACATGTGTCCCTTGGCTTTCCTCTATCCCTCCCTCACCTTTCTTCCATCCCTTGCCTTTCCTCCATTGCTCACCTTTCCTCCATCCATGCCTCACCTTCCCTCCATCCCTCCCCTCCTTCCCTCTCCTTCCTCCTTTCCTTTTCCCCTTCTTTTTTCCTTTTCCCTTTCCTTTTCCCTTTCCTTTTTCCTTTTTCCTTTTTCCTTTTTCCCTTTCCCTTTCTCCCCCTCCCCTTTCCTCCCCTTTCCTCCCCTTTCCTTTCCTTTCCTTTCCTTTCCTTTCCTTTCCTTTCCTTTCCTTTCCTTTCCTTTCCTTTCCTTTCCTTTCCTTTCCTTTCCCTTCCTTTCCCTTCCTTTCCCTTCCTTTCCCTTCCTTTCCCTTCCTTTCCCTTCCTTTCCCTTCCTTTCCCTTCCTTTCCCTTCCTTTCCCTTCCTTTCCTTTCCTTTCCTTTCCTTTCCTTTCCTTTCCTTTCCTTTCCTTTCCTTTCCTTTCCTTTCCTTTCCTTTCCTTTCCTTTCCTTTCCTTTCCTTTCCTTTCCCTTCCTTTCCCTTCCTTTCCCTTCCTTTCCCTTCCTTTCCCTTCCTTTCCCTTCCTTTCCCTTCCTTTCCCTTCCTTTCCCTTCCTTTCCCATCCCTCCCTCTCCTTCCCTCCCTCTCCTTCCCTCCCTCCCTCTCTCTTTTCCCTCCACCCCTCCCTCCCCTTCCCTTCCCTTCCCTCCCCTCCGTGCTCCCCTTTGGTACTTACTGTGAACCTGACGCCTTTTCTAAAGCGACGGCGATTTTGTACCGACCCGCGATACTGTGCGGTGGGAGGAGGGTCTCCGGGCAGCGCGGGCACCTCACGCCGGCTTCTCTTCCCGGAGCTCCTTCCCAGTGAATTGCTGCAGCTCTGTTACCCCTCGGAAGATGTAAATACATTATTTTTTTTCCTGCTTATCCTTGTGCTTGGCTGTGTCCGTGCGGGAGTTAGACCCGATTTTCAGCAGGGCTGTGCGTGATGAGTCCTCAACCCCGCGGGGGGGCTGCGGGATGTGCCAGCACCGGCAGCTCCTTCGGGACCCGGGATTTCTGTGGAGGAGGAACAGGGAAGAGGAGTCAGAGCATCCCCGCTTGGACACAGGAGAAAATCCCTCAGTCAAGGGGATTTCCTGCCCTCTCATCCTTGTTGCGTGTGAAGTGATTTATATTTCCCCATTTCAGTTCCCCCGGTCCAAGCAACAGGGAGCATCAGGCACGGGAAGGCTCCAGCTCCTGCCCGTGCCCCGTGTAATCCCTCACGTGCCTTTTGGAACAGGGAATTAAACCCCAGAAACTTCAGTGCCTCTGCCCATTGCTACCAGCTGGCAGAGCCAATCACTTTTTGCTGTTTCCTTTAATTCCCAAAGAGCAGCTTGGGGCCCTCAGCCCCTTGTTTGGAGCAAGCAGAGACTCAGAAACGATTAGGAGAAATAATTAATAATAATAATAACTTTTTAAAAAAGGGTGATCAGCAAAAGTGCTGCCCGGGAAGTGAGAAAGCAGAGGCACAGCTGAGGGGTGGCCTTGGCATCTGTGGGTGATGCTGGGGCTCAGGGTCATGGCAAACCCCGGGGGAGAGAAGGGAGGTGCTACCTCCATGCAGCTCTCTGAGGGTGCGTGAGCAGCTAAATCCAGGCAGGAAAAAGAGCTGCCGTAAGCTAGAACATAGACTCGGCTCTAAAATCAGAAGTTTGGAGGTCAAAAAGCAGAGGGCTATGTGAGGAGTGCCAAAATCCAGCTGAGACCAAAGCCTTAGCTTTCCCTGAGTGTCCTCAGGGCAGCTGGGGTGGCACAAGGTTCGTGTCCCTGTCCCTGCAGCCACAGTGTGGACTGGGGTGTCCCTGTGTCTGTGGGGGGGTGCTCCCTTGCTGCAGGGACATGCACCCGGACCCAGCACGGCTGGGGGTGCAAACAAAGCACCCCAGCACCCCCAAAGCAGCGTGTCCCTGCCTGGCTGCTAAATACTTCTTTACATTTCAGAACAAGCACGACATTTCCCACGTTTATATTTCTGTATGTGATGCAACAGGGAGCCCCTCACGAGAGGTTTGTGGCACGTTATTCTGTATTTGCTCCCTGCACTGCTGCCCGCTCTCAGCCCTGTTGTCTGAACTTCCCGTGTGTGAGCCCCGGGGACCTGCACCTTGGAGCCCTCCAGCGTCTCCCCCTCATCCATTGCACCCACTGGGCAGAGAGGCCAAAGCTGCTGGGATGCTCTGACACGGTGGGGATGGGAGACACCCACGGGAGATCACTGGAATCACTGGTGACTGCTCGGAAGAGGTGGCTCTGACAGCTTTGAACGCCGTGGCAGCCGTGGTTTGCAGCGACAAAGATTTGGGGGGCAATTCACGGTGTATTTAGAGCAGCAGGTGGTGCTGAGCCTTGCTGGGTGCCCAGGGGCAAGTGCCCGGGTCTGCACCCACCGGCCCGCTCCTCCCAGCTCTGCAGAGCTTTGACACACCAAAGCCGTCCGGGGGATTGAACCTCCTCCACAGAGAAGGAAACCCAACAAACTACCGAGGAAATAAGAAGTGAATAAACAAACGCAAAGCTGGCTGAGGTTTGGACTTGCTGGCTCAGCCCCGCAGGCTCCAGATCCCACTCCATGCCACATTTTAGAAGATGTGATCTGTCTGCCTCCATCCTCATCCTTTCCCGAGGCTCCCTAATCCCAAATATAACCCGGAGCGCCGCGCAGTTCCCCGGCAGCGGCGGCAGAG